CCCCCTTATTGTGAAAGAAGTGTTGTGTATTTTACAGAATATAGCAATTCAAAGCTGATTATGACAAATACAGCCTGCAGTTGGTTTTGCTAGGGAAATCTGACATGCACAAGGAATATGTGTATACATAGAAAGTAATGCGAATCATCTTAATTCAGTTGAAGTTATGGATGTATCCTGATGTGTACCAGTTTAAAAATTTGTCCCAGAGTTTTTGTCTGGATGTTATTTCTTTTGCTGTTAACGTGAGGTTTAAAGCTTTGCTTAGTAATTAGATACAATTTAATAAGAGCAATTAAGGTACAACATTTTTATAAATGCTGCTGGCATCTTTAAAACTGACTGAATTAAAATATTAGGAATGCAAGTAATGCATCAATATGTTAATGTTGAAAGAGTTATAGAATTCTAAAGGTGCTCACTAAGCTAACGTGTATTTTAGAAAGATTTTTCAGTTGGGGAAAAAAAACATCAAAAGCAGTATGGTGACTTTCTGAACCTATTGAATTCTTGTCAAAGTTATCATTAACTTCATTTGTGCCACACACAGCTTGTAAGAATTAATTCTGTTGCTTTGGTACTTATTGTAGCTTCCAGAATGCATCTGGTTCATTTTTGCACGTTTACATTTTTGTAGAACAGTAGTCATCTTGATTTAGAGGAATTCTGCTGTTGTCAGACTAACATTTACACATGTATGCATATATACATATATATCAAGTTATTAATATCTATATTAATCTGTCAGTACTATGGTTCTATTGTTTTTGACAGATTTATTGATTGTGTGCTGCAAGCATTGTTTTTTACTGGAAATTGGCACCCACAATCAAATGGGAAAGATGGATGCTCTAAAAATTGCAATTTTTCAATTATTCTTGTAATTAATCCTTTTGTATTGACAGTTTCCAGGAGCTATGTTGCCAGGAGTGGTCTTTATCACTGGACAATTAAGCAACTGGCTTAAAAAAATTGTGCTCATTTCAGGAACTGCCATGCGAGATTTGAAAATAAATAGGTGTGAGCTGTTTTCTTGCTTTGATTTTGGCTTTGATTAATACTCCCAGATGTGCTTTGTTTTAGATAATCTTTGCCTGCTTTGACTGCTAGCATCCATTATTGGGGTCTGTAGCTGGGCATGAGCTCATGTGAAGTCTTGCTAGTGCTGCACAAGGTTTTGTACCAATGTAGACTTTAGCACTTGGTCCTTCCTGTTGGTACCAATGTGGCCATGTTTCTTCTGGACCTTGCATCCCCATGGGAATTAATTTGGATCTTGTCCTGACCCAGTTCCTCCAATAACTATCATTATCTTTTTTCCACTGTAGCTGTTGTTCGCACATACCTAATATTAAATTAATTTTTCATTGCTGCAATGAGTCCTCTCCCCTGGACCGTGATCTCTCTTTTGTGACCTCTCAATGTAAATTATTTGAGATTGTGACCATTTTGTCATCTCATGTGAAAGTGTGGAGCTCATTCATTTTCAGCTGCCCTGTGATGAACAGCTAGACTGGTTATGTAAGTGGACTTAGGAAATGCAGAAGGGGGGGGCATCAGGGAAGCCAGTTTGTGGATAACATGAATAACCAAACTTTTCTAAATGAAGCACTGCTGTTCTGCAAGTGAAATAAAACAGTCTTATTCTTCATTTGTTGAGGCTCCTTTGCATTAATTAAAATTGGTTAAAAAAAAAGAAGACTAACAACAACAAAAAAATCAGTATTTTAATGTGACCTTCATTTGGCATTTGTTTTAACTTTTCTTCTCCTATTTTATTTAATTCTTCCACTGCTGTTGTTCAATTAGTGTTTGACCCCTTTAGCAGAGATGTAAATTAAATGACATTTCAATGCCATCCCATATTTAAAATACTGTGTTAGTTGTGGATCATAAAGGATGATCTTCGTTCTTTAGCTAATTTATTCATTTAACAATTTCCCTCCAGAAGTTCCAGCAGAAGGCTCTGAAGCAAACTAAGCAGAAGAAATCCAAGTCGGCTGAATTTCTGATGGGTGAGCCTTGCTTGATGAGTTATTGCTCATAATTTGTGTAAGGATTAATTAACTAATTACAGACAAATGGCTGTGGGCGAAATTTTGCTCTTGCTTGTCAGGGTGCAATTTGTAATTATTTTAATCATTTATTCTTTTTTTTTTTTTTTTTTTTTCCTGAGTTAATTTTAACCTAATTCTGTTTTGGCGACATTTGAGGACGATACACTTGAGTCTTTCAGCAAAGGAATTACTAGAAGGAATTTTCTGCTTGTCATTGAAATACACTTTGCTGTAATGTGCTCTTCTGACCTCCTTGTTTTCTGTAGTAAAAGAAGAGAGAGGAGCAACAGAAGGCATTGAAAATCCAGCTTTTAACATCAGCAGCACAGATCTTTCAGCATATCAGACTTCAGAGGAGGAAGTTATTAGACATGACAAGCTGCATAGCACCCTTGCAGCTCACCAACAAAAACTCAGGCTGCAAGCCCATGCTGAACCAAGAGGTGAGGCATCAAACCGGATTACCCTCAAACGGAGTGACAGCAGTTGCGTTCCTCATCGAACCTGCACATTCCGCCGGGTGTTCCCATCCTGATGCATCCCAACATCCACCCCCAGAGCCCCAAAAGGCTCTGAAAACATTGGGTGCTTGCAGGTTTGGGGATCTGTGCTCCCTTTTTGTATTCGGCTGGCTCCCCTTACTGTGGATGCAGGTTGCGTGGTGCTCCCCCCGAGCAGATGGGAGTGCGGGGAGCCAGCTCTTCTTATGGTGAGTCCCCTTAATTTGTACCAGGTTGGATTTCGGAGGCACTGTAGCAGACAGATGCTGCTCCCTTGCTGGCTCCCAAGCATTGAGTAGCTTTAAACAGCTTACAGATCAGTGATTGATTGTTGTCCTCAGATCTCCCATATGCCCTCAGTCAATCGGCATCTTGCCTCTGCTTTATTATATTTTTTTCAGCCACTTGTGCTCACATACTTAGAGCAGAGAGTCCTGTTTGCTCAGCTTTTCCAGGGAAGCGATCCTGCACAACCTGGTTTTTAAGCTCAGCTGTGGTGCGGCACCCAAAAAAGATCCTGTCTCACAAAGCAACGTTCATTATTTAGGGTAATGCAAACTATTAGGATCTTCGGTGACATCAGTTTTTTGTATTGCAGAGGTTAGGTATCTTTTAACTTATTGCTTAATTTACTCCATTTTGAATTATTATTGCCACTGAATGTTATGACTAATGATTGTTTTTACTTAATAATATCATACGATTAAAGAATGGCTGGGGTTGGAAGAGACCTTAAAGCCTATCCCGTTCCAGCCCACTGCTATGGGCAGGATTGTTGCCCACCAGGTCAGGCTGCCAGGGCTCCATCCAACCTGGGTTGGTGAGAAAATACAATGAGGAAAAAGGTGAGAAAAAGAATGTAGAGACATCCGATGAGTTATATGAGGAAAATCTTGGACTAAGTTCTAAAGTGAAAGCAATCGTTTCTGAAGTCAGACTAAAAATCTTCCATAAATCTGCACTGAAAATATCATTGTATTGGACTGTGTAGTATACTTATCTTCAAGTAGACTGTAATCAACCATGAATATGTGAATGCACACACAAAGCCCGAAATCTCCCAAGGTACCAAAGTAAACAATACGACTTTGAGGTATGCAGCTCACCCAGTGCTTCCTATCAAAGTCCCAGGCAGCAATGCCACTTGATGAGCACCCCTGAGTACGCACACAGGTATTTCAATACGTAAGTACAGGCTTGTGAGCCAAACTCCAGGTATTTGCTTTTAAAACTCTGGACCTTGTTGTGTTAATATTTTATCCTCACAGGGACAGAGAGCCCATGGCTCCTGATAGCCTCTCTCACAATTAGGTCTGGCTTTCCATTTAGCTTTCACGTGACTGCATAGTGCCACATGGAGCAGGAATTCTCTCTGCAGCCTGTCAGAACAGTGATTAAGCAGACAAAGGAATTGATTGTTTTTTAATGAAATAGTCTATTTGGTAAAAATGAAGTTGGGCTCAGTGGAGTCTGTCCATACTTTCAGTCTCTGCTTCAGAAATTCATGAATAGTGTCTTCAAGAAAGGAACACTTTTAAAGACTAAAATGTGTTTTTAAACCCATTATGGTGAATTTGTCATTCACAGTATCATTTAAAAAAACAATAAAAGCCAACAACAACCAACCAGACAAAATATAACACCAAACCCCTTTTTTAAAAAAAAAAAAAACAAAAAAACACGGAATTTAATTTTGCCTGGAATGGAACAGTTTGATTGACAAAGTGCTTTGAGTGGGAGACGAAGGCTTACTGAGAGTTAAATATTTTGTTTCCCCAAACTCACTCTCCTTTGGAATCTTTTGCCCATCCAGTTAACCAGAAGACCAGTTATTCACATAGCTTTGCCTCTAATTCATGCAGCTGTTAGAAAAAAAAAATCATCCATTTATGTCATCATAAAAATAAAGTGTATATTGGAAGAGGCCTCTAGAGATCATCTGGTCCAACCTTGCGTTAAATTATTCTTAGTCTAACTTCTGTCAGGACTTGTTTGACAGTCACAGGGGCCAGTTCAAACTTATCATGGGCTGCTAACAAAACAACAGCTTCAAGCCTGACCAGAAACCTGGGAAAAATTGAACTAAACCTTCTGGTACCTCCCGAACTAATTTTCTCCACCCCCAAGTGTAATAATACTTCATTAAAGAGGAAATGGAAAAAGCCAGCTACATAGAAAAGCATGGTATGGCATGATCGTAGTGAATGGTAGTATTTCATGGTCCTGTCCATGACCATGAGGTTCTCCCCCAGCTCTCAGACCTCAGGCTGAATCTAGGTTTCTCGATAGGGAGTAGCATTGGTCAACTCTAATTCTTGGTGTTAAACTACACAACCTAAAAGCAGTTATAACCTTAAGCACAATTATTTAATTGCAGTGTTTAGCAGATTACAGGTTTAGAACACTATGTAAATATCAGGCTGGATTTAGTGCTATGCCCCTTGGAGGCACGGTGCTGAGATGGTATTGCCTTTCCATTGTCTTTCCACCTGTCACCTGTGTTCTCAATGGCATCAAACAATAGCTATAGGAGTGCTACTATTTCCTCCATCCTACAGTAGTGTCACAGCCTGTTCCTCCTTCTGTGACTGCTGGAGGGAAGTATTCTCTAGAAAAACCTCCACCTTCTTTTGAGATGCTTTCTCACACACCTCCGTGCTGAGAATACCAGAAAGGAGTGTATATAGTCAGCTGTGTTTCAAGACAGCCTCAAAGTCTGTTCCTGGAATTTGACACACTGTGCAAAATACAGATTATTTAGGGATGAAATAGCCTGTGCAGAAGCCCATCACATTGCAGCTTGCTTTCAGCTGGCCCCTAACCACCTTAATTCGCAGGTATGATAGAGCTATATTGACTTTTCCATTCCCTTTCCTCAGATAACAGTACATCACCTGAAAATGAGTGTGTGAACTGAGTTTTGCCTTGAATAGCTGATGAAATATTTCCAGTTTAAAAAGTTCAAGTATTTTTTCACAGAGGATTTAGTCCTGTGTAGAGCCAGGAGTTGCACTCAATGATCCTCGTGGGTCCCTTCCAGCTCAGGATATTCTATGATCCTATGCTCTCGTGACTCTGTTACTCCATTTTTTTCCATTTGTCAGGCCATTTTATTCCTTACACTGTCATATTTTCAGTGATGGACCATATTCCCAATGTTATCATCAAGAGTAGACAATTATTCAGGAATAAGCTTTTGTGTAACTTTCTGCTGTCTGCTTTCCATTACTGCTCTTATAGGATGGTGACCTGGTGTTGCTGTTAAATGTTACAGTGACCTAAGGGAACTGGCTATTTACTCAGATTTACCAATTATCAGGCACCTATATGCTTACAGTGGGTTCTACGCTATTTTCTCTTCATGATACGCTGACCTTTTGCTGATTGCTCCTAACCATCATGTTTCTTTCCCATATTTCTCATGAAATTAAGGTTGTCTGGCAATTTTTGCGATTTATTTGTTCCTGAAAATTCTCAGAGTTTACTTGTGACTACATCCAACCAGCTCCTTCCTCCTTTCTTCACCTCAGCAAATATTCGATTTGCCAGAAATTTTCACATTAGTCACCCCAGTGGGAGGTCAAATAGTCAATAAACAGACAATAGAAAATATTTAGGATCACATTACTCATAACTGGAGTAAAGGATGGGCATTCCAGGTGCGTCTGAAATCAGGGTGAGCTCCCACTGGCTTTTTTTCTTTTTTCCAGAGGTATTTAAATCCAAAACACTTGGGAGAGTTTCCAAGAGTTCAGGTGGGCTTGGTGAAGTCTGTACCTGGCAAACTGCCACGGCGGAAGCACCAAACCACCAGGAAACCGCCTGCCCTCTTTGGCTGAAGGCAGAACACGAAGGCAGTTGCTCAACCTTGGATGAATGATATATGTCACAAGAAATCCCTTAACAAAGGGCTGTGTCTTTAGTGTTTTATCATAGGTCTGCAAAGCAAACATTAATCTTTTCCAGCATTCAGATCCTCAGCTATTGTGAATAGTTAATTTGCTAGTGGCTTATAGCTGTTTGTACTGCTTGGTGCTCACCACAGCCACAGAACTAGAAGGCTCTGGTCCAGCTAATCCTGAGAAGAGCTCTGTGGGATGGCACTGTTCACATTTCTACAAGGTAGGTGAAATTTCTAGCCCAGGCATGCAGAGGGAATGTATGTCAGAACAAATTAGTCTGTGTTCTTTCTGGGATGCCAGTTACGCATGCAAGCTGCAGAATCCAGGCGCAGGGCTATCCAAGCATCCTACCATTACATGATCCACCTTGCACCCGGCCTCTTCAGAGGCTGCGATAGTCTGTGGCTTTTGCATGAAAGATGAAAGGAAGGCTAATTGTCTTCTCCTGTATCGTTCACAGTAGTACAAAGGCTAGAGGCAGTCTGACCCTAAATGTTGATGTTTCAGGTTGAATTGCCTCCAGATGATGAGGAGTGCTTATTTTTTTCTATCATCCCCAATACACAAATCCTTTTTCAGAACTAGATTATCTCCTAAAATCAAAAGCCCTAATTAATTCTACCACTTCATCTGCAATAGGCACTGTTAACATCTCATATCATGCTCCAATAAATTTGCCCACAGAGATTAACAATGTTTAAAAAGAAAGAAGAAGGAAAGAAAGCTTCAATTGAAGACCAAAAGCTATTCTAATTAGCATAGGTATGGTATTAACATGGCTATACTGCTTTTGGCAGCAATTTAGTGTCTCTATGTAGTCTCCTGCTGCACCACCTCCTAGCTGCAGAGCTGGGCTGGACATATCTAACATGGTGCTACCTGCATCCTGCGGGGAGCATCCCACTGCGGAATGGAGGAGTTCTGCCCCTCATCAAAAACCAAAGTAGAGCCCTTAGCCTTTGCTAAGGGATGAGTTACTACTGAAGGTAGTTTAGCTGTGACAGGACAAAATAGGCCTTTTCTGCTCAAGCATGTAAGTGA